GACCTGCAACTTGCTGGAGGAGTGGCACAAGTGTCTGCAAATAAATAGCCAAGTACCAATCACAATAAATAAAACTGAATAGTAGACCTGTGGGTGACAGAGCTTAGTAACCTGCCGTGAGAAGAATCTGCTAACCAGAAGTACAATGACCAAGAGCAAAAGAAGAGACAGAAGCACAATGAATATTACTGAAGACACCCCTGCAAAGGAGCAAAAAGCTTTTGCTAACCTCAGAGTTAACTGAGGAATATATTAAGAAAATGTGGAATAAAGAACTTTAAAAACTTGTTATAAAGCTTTTTAGCAACAATGAGAAGTGCATAAAGCAGGAGTTGAAGGAATTTAAGGAGTATGTCACACAGGAAATAGCAACACTGAAATAAAACCAATGAGAATTATTAGAAATGAAGGACACAATGGAGCAAATCAAAAATTCAGTGGACAGTCTCAATAATAGAATGAATGAGGCAGAAGAAAGAATTTCAAAATTGAAAGATATTTCTTGCCACAATGGTTAAAAAAAAAAAAACCTGGAAGAGGAACTGAGTCAAACCAAGAAAAGTATTCAAGAATTAAAGGACACTATTAAAAAGCCAAATACAAGAGTTAAAGGAGTTCCAGAAGGTACAGAAATAGAAGCTGCGTATGTTTAATGAAGTAATAAAGGAAAACTTCCCTAATCTGGAGAAAGAAACAACATCCAGGAGGAGCACAGAACTCCCATCATGGTCGATCAAAAGCAATCTTCACCACAACACATGATAATCAAGCTCTCTTTAATCAAATATAAAGAAAAAAAATCCTTGAATGTGCACATGAAAAAATAAATTCATATATAGAGGAATGGAAATTAAATTTACAGCTGACCTCTCACAGGAAGCTCTACAGGCCAGAAAAGAATGGAGTGGCATATTTCAGATCCTTAAAAAAAAAAAAGTCAGCCCAGAGTAAGGTAGGTATCCAGCAAAGGTTTCCTTTGTCTTTGAAAATGAAATAAAATACTTCCACAGTAAAGAAAAGCTCAAAGAATAAGCCTTTTCTAAACCTGCCCTACAAATGATAAATACATTCTCTTAACAGAGAAAAGGAATATCACCCACATTTGCAAAGGCAAATGTGAAGAACACCAAGTAAAATAACAATGGAAGAATAAGTCAAATAGTGAAAAACCTATTGCTAAAATGACAGGACAATATTACCACCTATTCATATTAACCCTGAATGTAAATGGCTTACAACCATCAGTCATATGTCATAGATTAGTAGACAAGATCAAAAAATGAAACCCATCTATTTTTTGCTTACAGTAGACACATCTCACCAAGGAAGATCAGCAGAAACTATATCTCATGGATTTTGACTTTTTTGTTTCATATCTTCAAAATAATTTCTCATTAAATTCTTCACTGACTCAAAGATCATACAGTAGCATCACTTTCTTCAAGAAGGTTCTTGACTTCATTTTTCATTTCCTCAGGGACACATTAGTCATTCAGTAGCATGCTATTTAACTTCATGATGCTGTTAATTTCTTTCTTCCTGTTGTTGAGTATGATTTGTAGCTTTTCATTTAGGGATGTACAGTAACTGTGTAATGGAGACTGTCATATCTAGCAGCATATTATTTAACTTCATGATGTTGTAAATTTCTATTTTTTTCTTCCTGTTGTTGATTTTGTATTGTGACTTTTCATTTAAGGGGATGTATAGCAACTGCGTAATGGAGACTGTCATATACAGTTGTGAGGATACAAAGCAGTATGCATCTCTACTTCCAGATCAAAAATGGACTTACAATGAAACTGTTAACTATATCTTAATAGGATGCTGGGCTCTCTGCCATTGTCCATGCCCGCAATGATGGACATATGACTGTGTATGAAGAACTATATTGTTGCAATACTATAGGGGAGATCAGTAAGGGGTACTTGAGGAGGGAGTAAGAGAATTTCCAAAGCCTATTGACTGTATCATAAAATAATAATAAATAAATAAAAATAGGAAAAACCAAAATAATAAAATAAAAATAGAAATTCTTATAAATCTAAAACATTTTTAAGTTTTATTATTATTAAAATATTTATTTCTTTAGTTTCACTTTCTAGAAAGAGGGAAAAATTATATTTATCATTTCATTTTAGTTATTTGTCACCTTAAACTCCATAGCACATTTTTTTTTAAGATTTATTTATTTTTATCAGAAAGTCAGATATACAGAGAGGAAGAAAGACAGTGAGGAAGATCTTCCGTCTGATGATTCACTCCCGAAGTGAAAGCAACGTCCGCTGCTGCGCTGATCTGAAGCCAGGAACCAGGAACTTCTTCCGGGTATCCCACATGGCTGCAGGGTCCCAAGGCTTTGGGCTGTCCTTGACTGCTTTCCCAGGCCACAGGCAGGGAGCTGGATGGGAAGCAGGGCTGCCAGGATTAGAACTGGCATCCATATGGGATCCTGGCACGTTCAAGGCAAGGACTTTAGCCGCTAGGCCATGGCGCCAGCCCTCCATAGCACATTTTAAAAACTGTCTAAAAATATTAGTGGCATTTACTTCCTTCGCACATAATGGAATTACTCTTATGCTTGCATTTGACTTCCATATTATGTTCCTGTTTACAATTCTTTCCATTTCTTCTTCTACCTTTTCTGTTAGGGTATCAATCAGGAATTTGGTTGCAAGAGCTCATTTCAACTAGTTTAGCAAATGAATCCAATAATTTAAGTATTTATTTTTTTAAATTATTATTATTATTTTTATTGGAAAGACGGATATACAGAGAGGAAGATCTTCCGTCCGATGATTCACTCCCTAAGTGAGCTCAACGGCCGATGCTATGCCGATCCGAAGCCGCCGGGATTAGAACCGGTGCCCATATAGGATCCCGGGCGTACAAGGCGAGGACCTTAACCACTTGCGCCACCGCACCGGGCCCAATAATTTAAGTATTTAAAATAGATTACAAAATCTCTGAAAATATCAGAGAAACAAGTTTGATGTCTACATAGTCAGTAGAAATGTTCAAACCACAGTGGAGACTCTGTGGCTACAGCTACCCTTCTGGCAGACCAGATGGTACCTCCTTCTCTTTTCAATTCAAAACCACATGTGAATGCATTTTATTGGCTCTGCACCACAGCATGGTGCCCTAGCTGCAAGGGAGCTTGGGAAAACAAGTTTCTGGGTTCTAAACTGAATAAGTTCAAAATCAGTTGAGGTAGTTTTCCACGCATAGAGGACTGCACAGCGGTAGTGACCGATATGTATGTACTATTGCTGCATTTATTGTTTTTCCTTGTTCTACGTTTTTCTCATAATGCTTTATAGTTGAGCACTATATTTCTACCTTTATTTCTTTCTAAAGAATGCATGTTTATTTATTTGAGGGAGGGAAAGACAGACGGATTTTCCATGTGCTACTCTCCTGAAATGCCTGAACCAGCCGTGGCTAGGCCAAGCCAATTCCAGTGCTAGGGCCTCAAATGAGACACTGTGGTGCATTGTAGGGAGCCCACTGTTGGAAGCATCAGGTGCAGTCTGGTATGATGACCATAAGTAGGAATCTGGATCAAAAGCAGAACCAGGATCCAAACCCAGAAATTCTGATAGAATGCAAATGCTCCAAGTAGCATCTTAGCAGTTATTAAGCGAATGCCTGCCCCCTATTTCTTTCTTTCTTTTGTGATCACTGACAATTTTTTTAAAACTGCCAAATCTTACCCACTTGAGGTTTCGCTATTCTATAAATATCTAGAATCAGTAAATTTCTATATCCTTTCTCCAAATAAAATAAGCTCATTAGTATGCTGTTGATGCCCCTCCAGAGTCACTGTCTGCTCACTCCTCTTTCAAGGTGATCATCTGAGATTTTAAATATTCCAGACAATGATTGCTTTTGCTTTGGGCACTAGCAGCTATTTAGACCTAACTGAAGTTATTATTCTTGCATTTGATGTTCCTCCATGTTCCCCAGAGTGGTATGCTGGACTCCTAAGAGCCAGTTGTTAGTACTTCTTTCCTAACGTGTTCAGGGAAATCATGTTAGTGGCTTGATGTCAGCCACAGTGGGAGTGATGCTTCTGACAAAAATCAAGGTGTTTTCCCCCAGAGAACTGGTTGTTCTAGAGTTACCAGTGCACCACTGGTTTCTTTTATGTCATGTCTTTCTCCTTATTGTATTAATTTTTCACTTTGAATATTTCAGAGACAGTCCATATACAATAAAATGTGTTCTTATATATTTATTTTCATATAGGGTCAGTTTGCCTAAAACTGGGTTTATTGCAGAGGCCCAACTATAACTCTCTCTTTGCAACTGAACCTCAATTTTAGCAGGATACCTCTAATAAATACTATACTTTTTCAATCTGTAAGCAAGTGTGGCCACAAGATCATATTCTAGCCAGCAAAGGAGCCAGTAAAGGTAAAATACATGCAGTACTAGACTAAGAAAGTCTCCTTAGAGAGAATTGGTGAAACTAGAAGACATATTTTCTCTCACTTCCTTCATTTGCTATTTGAAATACAAACCAGGTTAAAGCAGCCTAACCACAGATAACTCCCTAGAATTAGGATGATCTTCTGTGACCCAATTTTCCTCTGATATTCTCACCTCTTTGTTTTTGGTTGTATATTTTGGAAGATTCCTTTGATCTAGGTTGCACCAGCTGATTTCTTCTTTACTCGCATTCAACATATTGTTCAGCCAGCTTTTTAGTATCCTAAACCATTTTCCAGTTCTGCATGGTGGATTTAATGTTGCAACAGGCTTTCCCCTTCTTATTGCTGAGTTCTACTCCAAGTAAGTCGTTAATACATACATTGCTGTCTAGAACTAAAAACCAGACTTCCAAGTGATATTTTGTTGTTGTTGTTCTGGCTTTCAACTTTCAATTTTTGAACTGGTGCTTCACCTCTGTAAGTTTCTTGAGGATGGAGGTAACAGATGTTACTCAGTTGAATTCATTGATAGAGACTTACTGAAGAATATAGCCTCGGCAGCAGGAAAAGGTAGAATGCTTTATGAATTTGGAGTCATTGTTGCACAGGAGCCATGCTAATCTTCTCTGTGTCATTCCTGTTTTAGTATATGTGCTACTGAAGTGAGCACTGAAGAATAAATTCTTACAGAAGATACTTCAGTATTGATCAATCTTTCCTCAAATCATTATAACTCTAGGATTAATAAGGTGAGCTGGGGTGGGCATAATGGCTCAACTGGCTAATCCTCCACCTCCAAGTGCGGCATCCTATATGAATACTTGTTTGTGACCCAGCTAATATACTTCCAATCCAGTTCCCTGCTTGTTGCCTAGGATAGCAACAGAGGCAAACCCAAGTCCTTAGAACCCTGCACCCATGTGGGAGTCCCAGAAGAAACTCCTGACTCCTGGCTTCGGATTGGCTTAACTCCAGCCATTACAGCTATTTGGGGAATGAACCAATCGATGGAAGATCTTGCTCTCAGTTTCTCCTTCTCTCTGTAAATCTGCTTTTCCAATGAAAATAAATTTAAAAATCTTAAAAAAGAATATTATCTGATAGAGAGTTGCATGCAATAAATACCAAATATCAGCTCATCATTTTATCTGAGGAATTGGCAAAAAAAAAAAAAGTTTTTTTTAAGGCCAAATAATTAAATGTTTCCATCTCTGTGGTCCACAAGGCTTCTGTCACAATTACTCTGTCATTGTAATACTAAGCAACTGTAGATAATATGTAAATGAAGGGATGTAACTGTTTTTCTATGAAACGTTACCAATAGATATTAGCATTTGAATTTCATCAAAATTTCATGAAATCTTCCTATTATTTTTATGTTTTTTTAAAACATAAAAAACCTTCAAGATTTCAGGTTATAAAAAAAATTGAGTGCTAAGCTGGAGTGGTCCTGCAAGCCAGATTTTGCTGATCCTCTTACAGCTAGCACCTCCTAAAAATATATATATTTGAAAGGCAGGATGACAGAGAGAGGGACACACACAAGCACAAACATGCACAATGAGAGAGAGAGGGAGAAGGAGGGAGAAAGAGAGAGAGAGAGAGAGGAGTGAGGAGAGAGAGATATATATCTTCCATCTGCTTATTCACTCCCATGTGTGGCAGGGATCTAAGGACTTAAAGCCCTCTTCTGCAGCTATTCCAGGTACATTACCAGGGAACTGGTACAGAAGCAGAGCAGTTGGAAATCAAACTGGCTCTCCTCCATGGGATACCAGCATTAGGAACAGTGGCTTAGCCCATTGCACCACAATTCCTCGCCAAGTCTATCACTTTTAATGCCTGTTTAATTCCAACAAACCAAGTAGCATTAATAACTTCTTTTTTGTCCTAATTTTATCATCAACCAGTGGGCTTTGATTAAAGATGATAGCTGTGTCTGTTATTTACTTTCCATCCAGTCTCATTTTGGCTCCAGTATTATTGCTTTACTTTGATTTTTTCTTCATGATCTCATTAATACCAATATAATCCATGCCACTCCCCTCCACCACACACACACACACACACACACACAGAGGAGAAGTTTAAGAGAGAGATCAAGATAGCCATCTTGTGTAATTACCATGAGATACTGAAGTGGCTGAATCTTGCGCTTTCTGCATATTGATGCTTCAAGAGAGTGAATAAAGCCAGACATTTTCTAGAGAGGAATTTAGTGCATCTGAGTCACAGGGCTTTGATTTTTAGAGTCAAAAAGACTCAGAACAAATTTGGGAAATACTTAGTAGCTCTTGCCTTGTGCTTCTAACTGGAAACATTCTCCTTCAGAATATGTTTACAGGTATTTATGTTTCAAAAATTTTCCAAATTTTAGTCATCTTGGATTTGCTGTCCTGAAATGAGTCTAACCAAGATACCTCTCAACCCTGGCCAGTGTTTCTGAGAAAAGTCAGGAAGTGTGGTGAACTTCATGAAAATATTTCACAAAGCACATTGCTATTTTGCACCTCACATCGTATTTGCATAAGAATAAATAATTTAATGCCTATAGGACTTTTGTTCTGAACTAAAAGGCATTTGTAAAAAATTGAGCTTCCCTCCCCCCACTCTTTTTGAGTCATCCTTAGCAGAATAGGATTAAGGTAAACCTGTGGGGAAAGCAGACATGGTCGCTTCAGGCTGGGTCCCGTTACTGGGGTCATCACAAATACCAGTGTCTGATCCTTAGCTTAACAAATTCAGAAAGTTGATTTTCATGGCATACACATTAAGGTGATCGGGCTTGAGGGGGCTGACTCATGGTAAACAAATTTACAGGCAACTGCCTGACTAAATGGGAAGCCAATTGATTAATTTACATTTTGAATTGAAACTGCCAGCCAGCCAGTGTATTCACGCCAGAAGAAAAGACAACTTGGGAAACCAAATTAAAGTCCAAAGGCTGTTTGAAGAACACAATAATCTGGACAGTAGTTGTTAGAGAGACTCATAGGATAGTCACGAGGCTGTTGGATGAGTCTTGATAATTTGCTGCACTGACAGATTTTCCTACCAGATCCCAGAACTTACATGAGTGGTCAGGTTCCCCTTTATTGTGTCCACTGCTTACTGTAAGTCAACTGTCTGATCTGCAGCTCCATTTGTCAAGTCTCTAAGAACAGGCCAAATCCTTTCATGTCCAAGTTCATTCTTACTCCCTGTTATTTTTCCAACAAACTCAATATATTGTCTGCACATTTCATTAACCTTCTTGCTCTAAATGTAACTCAACTATTCCACGAGAACATCTTTCCTCTGTTGCTTTCTTAAATAGTAGCTTTTTTTTTCTAACAATACTCTCTTGGCCACACTACTGGTTCTGAAAGTAAATGAGTTTCCTTCCTGTTTTATGTTGACTTTCCATGCCATTCTTTTCTCCACCAAAACTCTCTCATTTTGATCTCAGGTCATCATGGCAAACTACATACTAACTGCTCCTTGTTGAAATAATCTACAGATTCCTGGTGTCTTATTTTCCCTAACCTTGTTTCCTTACTTGCTGGTGACTTCAATATTTTTATGACATTAATTAAAATACCTGCAAAAGGCCAGTTGGAAAACAATAGATTTATTTCAGCTTCCTGTTCAGGTTACAGTTCAAGATTGGGTGACACCATAGTCTGTTTTCTAGAAGTGACCAGTAGTGGTGGAGTCGTTGTGGAGAGAGAGAGAGAGAGAGAGAGAGAGAGAGAGTTAGGAAGAACTTAAACTCAAATAATCAACTGCTTCATGAGAACCACCCTCCAAGGCCATATCTTCAGTGACCTAAGACCTACCATGAGACTCGTCTCTCAGATGTTAAATTAGATCCAATCTGCACTATTAACATTGGCATCAAAGTGTGACAATTCGCATTAATTTTGGAGAGACAAACTATTCAATTCATAAACATAGACTATTCTACCTGCAATCTGAATTATTAGCCTTTCTTATTTTCTGTGACACTATTCTCTACCTTCATCCTTATATGATCAAAATTTTATACATACCGTGATTGATAATCACTTATTTCTCCACTCATTTCCTCTCAAAGTATCCATACCAAGAAATTACTCCATTTAAAACTCAGGTTAAAGTTCACTGACCTTAACAACTTTTCACTATTTTTCATCTACCATAATCTTCATTTCATTTATTACATAACTTGTATTTCAGGCTCCATTGTAACAATTTCTGTCTTACGTAAACCTACGATTTCTTTGCCCCTTGTCTTCTTTTGACATACCCATTAGACAAAGATTTCGCTTTATTTTGATTAAAATTTTTATGTCTCCTAAATGTGCCTAGTATGGAAGACATACCACATGCCTATTAGTCTTGCCTTAAATTCATTGCAGTTATCCTCAAGTGAGCCCTTGGTGCTGCTCAATAATTGCAATGTATTTACTAATTGTAAGTAAATAACATGTGCAATCCCCGGCATCTCCCTCATGTTCATTCTCAATGGATGACATCTTTTATTTCGCTTGGAAGTAGAAGCCATCAACTGAGAAGCCATTCTCCATCCTCTTATCAGCAGTTGAATTTTGCCTTTGTGTGCACACCACCCTCTCTCCTGTTACCACAGTTGAACTGTCTGTGTCCACAACAAAGATCAATCTCTGCACTTATATGCTCGACTCTATTCCATTTCACCTATTTCACAAAAGCCTTCTGGCAATGTTTCCATCCCTGTCCTATATCATTAATTTTTTCCATCATCACTGAGCAATCCTATCAGCACATAAACATGCAGTTATTTCTCCCATATTAAAATATAAATTTACTCTTATAGTACCCTTCAATTACTACCAGTATCTTTTACAGAAATAAATCCGTACACGTTTTCACCCCATCCTCATCACATTCAGTTGCTCTCTACTAAATCTCTTAAAGTTGTTCCAATCAGACTTTTCCATCTACCACCTTCCCTGAAACTTCTGTTGTAAAGATCATAGTGACCCCCATGTTGCTGATTCCATTGCTCACCTTTGAGTACTCATTGTACTTCACTTATCAGAAGCATCACTTCTTTCTCTTAGACATACTTAGTTTGTGTGGCCACCAGCACTCCACACTCTCCTGTCCTCATCCTCATCTAACTTCTTTATTTGTGCTTTATTGTTTTCTTTTTGTCTTTTTGTCTATTTTTAAACAATTTTGTAGGTATAGGGCTTCATTCTCCCCCCTCCTGGTCCTCCGTCCTCCATTCTCACTAGCTGTTATCTACTGAATTTTTACAGCAAAGTAGCCCCTTAGTAACACAAGATTAACTTTATGCTTTTTTTTTTTTTAGCATATCATGACATAGTAGGAATAGGCAGAAGAAGAAAATACAGTATCATGCTGTATGGGTAAATTCACATTTTTCACAATGGGAGTCTTATTTTAGTCAAGAATAAACACATACACTGTAACATAAATTTATTTTCCACTGTGCTGATCTCTGTTATGTCGTTCATCTGTGAGAATATGTGTTGATACTTGATTATCTATATCTACTTAATCTGTAATTTACCTGAATACTCTCTTATATCTGAGAGAACATATTGTATTTGTCCTTTTGGAACTGCTTATTACGCTAAGCATGATGGTCTCCAGCGGAGAACATCTTGTTGCAAATGGTAGGATTTTATTCTTTTTAAGGGA